CTGAGGGTCTGCTCACTTTCATGCTTTCTTTTTCCTCTCCATTTTTTGGTATGCATAATTTATATTCTTATCCCAAAGTTCACTGACAGTTTCTTAGGCCACCTCTAATCTGATGGTAAGGACATTTAGTGAAGTTTCATTTTCAGTATTATAGTTTCCAGTCGTAGAATTGTATTTACTTACAATTTTGCTGCTGAAATTTCCACATGTTCTCTCAGTGTTAAAAAGTTTCAAGTCATTCATCGGGCATTATAAAATGGGTTTAAAGTTCTTGCTCTTGATTCCAATGTCTCTGTCATCCATGAATTTCCCCTGAACATTGCCCTAAATTTTTCTACTCTGTTCATGTATGTACCTTGTTTTATTATATACTAGATATTGTTATTATTTTCTTCTAAAGTCTAAAGGATACAGACTGGGATTTTTTGTTGTTGTTTTCTTTTCTTTTCTTTGGTTTGTTTGTTAGCAGATAAAAAGATTCCTGAATGGTTTTCTCGATCTTGTGATGGTTAATTTCACATCTTATTTACATCTATCGTAGGGTGACACATAGTCTTTACTTAGCTTTTCTGAGGTTTCAATACAAAGACTGTTTTGCTTACTATACTGCTAGTTTGTTGAGGTTTAACTCCCAACTCTTTTTTTTTCCCCCTGTATGGTAATATCTAAAAAATTATGTTAGGTTTTTAAATCTTCCATCTGTTGCTTTCCATTAAGCTCTTTGCACTTTCTTCCACATATATGCTGCTCAGAGAGTCACCCAAGAAATTTATCATAGTTTGAAAATAAATTAGAATTTCTTGCCACTTTCCTTTTTGAGATTTTTTCATACATAATCTCCAGCTTCTGTTTTAATTAGCCTAGGCCTTCCAAACTTGGAAGTGCTCTCAGAGGAAAAGCCATGTAAAATTGTGTCTTCTTTTTATTACTCTCAAATACAATAAAATAATTTACTCTAAGGGACCAGACAGTGGCATAGTGTAAAATATGATGCCCCGTGAGGCTGACCCATGTTGGAAGGCTCCAGATTCATATCTAAAGACCTCCTTGAGTGTGACCTGGGGTTGGCTGAAGCTGAGAGTGGATCATGGTGTCAGGACCCTGTTGAAGATACTGTTTCTTCATTTTCTTATCTCTCCCTTTCTCTGTTTTCTCTTGCTTATGGTAGAAATAAAATAAACTTCAGATGATAATTTATTCTTTTCTGAGAGTTTGTAATTGTTAAAAATGTATTAAGAAAATATAATTTTTTGTTTGCTTGTGTTTTTCCATCATTACTAGCACCAAACTCCTTCTAATTCATGATTTGTTTCAAGGTTGTGAATTCATTACTGTACTCATCCTGAATATGACTCCTTTCTTCCCATACCGATTAAAGCAGTTTGAAAAAAATTAAAATTGTAATTCATATCATAGTCATTACTGCCTTGATTCATTATATTGCTGATTTGTTTTTTATTTTGTATTTTATGTTCTGGAATTTGCCTGTAGAATGTTAATTCTTTTATCACTCTGTAGTGGTTCCAAACAAGTTAGAATTCTCACCATAAAGAAGGGTAGTTAATAATGTGAATTTGAAGGGGAAAAAAGGAAAAGATAGAGATAAAAAATAATAGCATGATAATAGGGAAGAAGGGGTGCAATGAAATAGGGGGAAAATCAGAGGGATAAGAGAAGGTGAGAGGAAGAGAGAAAACAAGAAGGGAGAAGAGGCTTTGGGAATCATGTGTCCACAGTTCAAGTTCCAGATCCAGTGGCTTAAAAATCACACTGGCCACATGTGTGTGTGCCCCAAATAACAAGAGGAGAATGGAGAAGAAGGGACTGAGTATGGCCATCCTCCATGGGGGAGGAGGGGGTGGTTATTTCTCACTTTCCTTTTTTCTGTCTGTCTCTCTCCTGTGTATGCACATGCCTTATGGCAAAAACCTATAAAAAGCAACTGGGTATTTTTGGATTTTTATATTGGTAAATACTAATGTCATAGAAACACATTAGATAAAAAGTATAGTAAGGTCAGTTAGTTCAATGTAGTATTTTTATTTACCTATCATACTCTTATTACTGTAGTGTGCTATGGGTAAAATGTAAATCAGACATACCCTTAGTCTCAGGGAGTTTGTGGTCAAGTCAAAGACACTAAAAAAGATTGGCCACATCATTTATTTATTTATTTAGTTAGTTAGTTAGTTTTTGCTATGGGTATGTGTGCATACAAGAAAGAGACAGAGACAGAGAGAAATAAAGTGAGAAATCACCTCCATTGTGGCCATGACACAATCCCTTCAGAGAGAGAGAGAGAGACAGTGACAGGGAAAATGAAAAATCACCCCCACATGGGGCATGGCCACACCACAATCCCTTCTCCACTCTCCTGGGATTTGAGGAATGTATGCACAAGTGCCTGGTGTGATTTTCAAGCTACTAGATCTGGGACACGAACTGTGGTCATCTATGTGGAAGTCCAAAACTTAACCACTATGCTACATGCTGGCCCCACGCACCCCGTTGATGTGTCATGAGGCAGATAACTGAAGAGCTGAGCTGGGCTCTGAATGGAAAAACTAGATTTCTCTGGATTTAAGGGCTAAAGAAAGGGATACCTGCCAAGATATTGATCAGAAGCCTAAAAGTGCTCTGCCTAAGGAATAGGAACAAATAAAAGATAGATAAAGTTTTACTAAAACCTCAAATGAGCCCAACCTAGTTTAATCTCTGATTGAATTGGAGTGATCAGCCCCTCACCCTGTTTAACATAGGAAGACAAGGATCTTATCTAATGGGAAAATAACATTCTGTGGAGTCTCTACAGTTCTTTCATACATCATTTAGGCAAAATTAAAAGGACTACTAAGAGTTAAGTAAATATAATCAACAATCAAGAGAAAAAATGATAAGAAAAGTAGGTGATTTAATATAGTAGTTATAGACATCCCAATTAAAATAGCTATGAATAATATATTATAGAACGTTGAAGAAAAGATGTTCCAAAGACATGATTAAAATAGATCATTGAACAGTATTTTAAATATTTAAGGGGCTAGCAGGTGGCATGGTGTTTAAGGCACTGAACTCCCACATGACCAACAGCAGTTCAAGTCCCAGACCCGATGGCTTGCTTTCTCATTCTCTCTCTCTCTCTCTCTGGTGAGTACATGTGTCCTATAGCAAACTTAAATTTTAAAAAATGATAGTAATAAATAAAATCAAATTTAAAAAATTTAAAATAGTTTAAGATTGGATTGACATTTTGAAACTAAAAAATCTAATATTGAAAATTAAATTTTCAATGAATGAATGTAACTGTAGATTGGCCACAGAAGAACACAAGAAAAGTAAATTGGAATAAGGTCAATAGAAAACATAAAATTGAAGTACAAAGGATAAAGGATGAGACAAAAGCGTATACGAAGAGATGCGGGACACACAAACATGTCTAAGTTATGTCTCGTTGAAATCTCACAAGGGACAGAACAAGCATGCCTATCACCAGTAAAACAGATGAATTATGGTTTATTTCCCCAATGACACACTAGACAGCCGCGAGCAACCTACAATTACATGCACCATGGTATATGAATGTCACACACTGAGGGTTCAGTTTAAATAAAACGCAGACACAAATGGATACATGTGGTATGATTTCATTTTCATATAAATTCTTAAAACAGGTAAAACTATTCTGTAAGAATTCAGGTTGTGCTACCGTTTGGGGAGGTAGTAACTGCAAAGGTATATAATGATCTGCAGCTGCCTGTTTTTTAAGTTGGGTTTTAAAAGGGAAGGGAGGGTAGGAAGACAGGGAAGGAAGGAAGGAAGGAGAAGGGGAGGGAAACACTTTTAGAAATGCATTTATTATTTGTTCTGATCTCTCCTAGTTAGCTTCAGAACCAAGGAATTTCCTTGAGTAAATAGGAAAACCCGATTTTAGTTCTTGAAGGACAGAACCGAGGCATGGGTAACCACAGCAGCCACTAAGGCACTGGTTTTCGAACGTTAGCTGGCAGTAGGAACATCAGGAGGTCTTTCTTGCAGATGGAAGGGCTGAAGGAAAGCGTTCCTTTTTTTGTATTCCAGTGGGCCTGAGAATAGGCATTCCTATCGAGTTTCTGGGACATCCTGATACTACTGATCTGGGGAACCACAATTTGAGACTCAACCATGTTATGGGTGCTCTAGCTTCTACTGCCAATAATCTGTCATAAACTTGAGGCTTTTTATTTATTTATTTGTTTGTTTGTTTTGTTTTGTTTTTAGAGAGATTTTTGCTATAGGACACATGTGATCCCTGGAAAGACAGACAGAAAGACAAAAAGCAAGGAATTCCCCACCCCTGGGGGTGTGTAGCCATGTTGCAATCCCTTCTCTTCCATTCTCCTCTTGGGATTTTGGGCACACATGCCCAGGTGCCCAGTATGAGTTTTAAGCTGCCGGGTCCAGGACTCAAACTGTGGTAGATTACATGGGAGTCCAATGATGTAACCATTATGCCATCTGCTGGTCCTCAACTTGAGTCTCTTTCCACCTTGTTTTGAGTTTCTTCTATGAACAAGAAATCACAAGCATAAAGGGCATTGCTCAACTGTCATACATGAGAAGGAATGCCAGAAAGGACAAGTCTAATGAAACTCTCTAAGATGATTTTTACAGAAAATGTTTGCCCAGAGTGAAAATGTTTAACTATTAAATGACAGTAATTACTTCTTAGAATGTAAAGAGAAAAACAGCTCACGCAAAAAGCATGATGCAACAAAGCGTGCACAGTCTACATTCAGAATAATAGATTTCTTTTTCTCTTAGCACATATTCAATGCAACCCCACTACCAAGCTTGTTTCACTAGAATGTGTTCTCTTATCAGTCAAGCTCACAAATGAGAAGTGGTTTGCCTGCAAAACATTTGCTTTTCAAAGATACAGTATTTTAAACCTTACAGTTAAAAAAAAAAAAGGTTAACTATGTGTACCTCAGTATGATGAAGTTTATTTAATTCTCCTCTAGAACTGCATCAAAACATGTAAACAAGGACCTTGGTAATATGGAGGAAAACAAAAAGTTAGAAGAAAACAATCACAAAACCGAAGCCTAAGAAAGACCCTGTTCTACTTGTCCAGGTGAGTAGGTTGTCTGAAGTTTATAGAAAGAGTTCCCAGGCAAGTAGGAAACTTTTTTGGTGATGAAAGGGAAAGCACTGACTTTAAGATGCTTCATAATTACAGCTTTCCAAACAAGAAGAGAGTTTTTCCAAAGAAAACTGGGTGACTCAGAAAGTGTTCTCAAAAGAATGGAATCTCACCATCTCCTATCTTCCCCCAAAATAATCATCTTCTGAATAATAAAAATCAATTCTGAGATTTTTATCATGCAATTAGCATTTTTATTTTAGTACCAAAATGTTTCTTATGTACAAAGAACCTTTATTGTATAAGTTGGTATTTGAGTTTGATAAAAACAGAAGCTAAGAGCCAGCCGGTGTCCTGGTAGATAAGGCTACTGGATCCCATAAAGCTGACTGTGGGATTTGAGTCCCAGACCCAGGGGTCTGAAAAACCAATCCTGACAGGGAGGAGAAATAGAGAAAGGATTGTAGCAGGACCATGCCCTTATGGGTAGTGCTTTCTCATCTTTTCTCCCTCCACTCTCTCTCTCCTCTATGTGTCTCTCTCCAGTGAGTACACTCGCCGTCTGGCAATTTTTTTTAAATACAGATTTTAATATTTTAAATTTATTTTAAAAACAATTATGAGGGACCAGCAGTTCGCGTAATGGCTATGTTGCTGAACTCCCATATAGTTGATCACAGTTCAAGTCCCAGACCCAGTGGCTTAAACTCACACCAGGCACGTGTGTGTGTGTGCCCAAGATCCCGAGAGGAAAAAGAAGGAGAAGGGATTGCGGCATGGCCATCCCCCCTGGGGGTGATTTCTCGCTTTCTGTCTCTCTCCGTCTTTCTGGCGAGCACACACGCCCTATAGCAAAAAACTCTCCAAATAAATAAATAAACATAATAAACAAACAAATACAAACAATTATGAGAATAACTTTAAAATATAAAATATTTCATCTGAGCATTTAATATGTGTGACTTTACAGGTCATTATAATGAAAAGGTTAACAAACTTGTGTATGTGTATATGTACACCCATGTGTATGTGTGCTTTTATAAGTAGATTTACATATGTGTGTACATATATAAGTATGTATCTATAAATACACATACATATGTGCATAATGTAAATGTCAGTGTTACATATTACATTTATTAATGTGAAATAGATGTATGTGTGTTATTTTTCAGACAGTTTCCAAAAAGGATACGTTTCCATAGCATTGCCACTTGCAATTTGAGCTTTTTCTTTCTATGCCCTTGAGCCAACCAAACAGCGGAGCCATTCGCACTAATTATTCTGTGTGTCTTTGAAAATCACTGTTACTGTAGCTTACCGGTCTGATGTAAAGCCTCAATGGCCACAGTAAACCGTGGGTTCATTGTAAATAAACTGCAAGTCACAGTTTCAGTGGGTCACGCAAGTTCCTGCATAGTGAGGATAAGGGGCATGGGAAGGAATGCTGTTTGGAAGGATGCCTGCAGGAGACAAGACTAGAAATTGAAATAAGACCTACTTTTAGAATCTGAAAAGTAGGATCTCAAACTAATAGGGTGTAAGAAGTCAGAACTTAATGCCTTTTCCTGTCCTTTCCATTGGAGGTCAAGTATGCAACATTTCCATGATGTTTTTCCCATGTCATTCAGGGTTTTTTTCTTTGTCTTTTGTATATATAGATTTTGCCTTCTGTTTTCTTCAAAATTCTGTAAATTTTCAAAGGGAAATTGAATGTGAAGACACATTCCGCAAAATAGAGTGTGTTCTGAAAGGATGAGTGTATTTTTTAACCTGAAGCAAAGAAAATTGTTTTCCTAAAAACTCTTATAATCTTGGTATGAATTAAGTTTTTTAAATTCTTATCTTCTTAAAAGTTTTTCCTTATTTATTTACTTAGGTTTTTACAATAGGGTGTGCGCACTTGCCAGAGAGAGACAAAGAGAGAAGGAAAGTGAGAAGTCACCCTCCAAAGGTGATGGCCATGCTAGAATCCATTTTTCCATTCTTCTCAGGATTTGGGGCAAACATGCACATGCACCTGGTGTGATTTTCAAACCACCAGATCTGGGACTTGAACTGCGATTGGCCATGTGAAATTCCAGTGCCTTAACCACCATGCTTTCTGCTGGCCCCTAAATTAAGCATTTTTTAATAAAAAGTTTTAAAACCCTCAAGAGTGCCCAAAAGTTATTTGTAAAGAGGATACAGCCATATCTGGGATTACAGATGGGCTCAGGGACAATGGAGATTTATAGAAGTCTCTGCCTATAATTTTTATCACTTCAAGTACAAAGCCTCTATTGATGGTGGAAAATGATTGCTATGGTAACTTATCTAATTTTTTTTTTTCATTATTTCAGAGGAAAAACATATAGACCAATTGAAGCATGAATGTGGATTGTATTTAAGACATAAAGACATTGACAGCAATTCATGGTTCAAGTATTAAGCAGTTCATTCTACCAAGCTGTCACAGGATTTTAGAGAATTATCTCAAGTAAAAAAATGAAGTGAAATTACAAACAATAACGAGTTTTGGCAGCCATGATAATAGGTCATATGTTGTGTTGTTTTTTTGTTTTTGTTTTTTTCTGTAAATGTCTGCACTGAGAATTTCTTTTTTTGTTTGCCTTTAATGTAAATTTTTTACGTAGCTATTTTTATACACTGTAAGCTTTGTTCTGGGAGTTGCTGTCAATCTGATGTATAATGTAATGTTTTTATTTTGATTGTTTATAATATGGATAATCTGAGCAGGTACATTTCTGATTCTGATTGCTATCAGTAATGGCCCAAACTTGCTCACAAGCACCTAAAAACCCAAAGGTGGCAGCTTGTGAAGCTTGGGGACACACACATTGCCCTCTTCAAAGACGGTGATTTTTATCACAAGCGAGATGAAGGCAGAGAGTCAGAGTGGCAGGCACTGGTGAGCTGACCCTGTGTGTGTGCAGCCGGCTGACTCTCAGGAGTTATCACAGACACATCTGAACACATGTACATGGTAAAGGTACTCCCAAACTGACCTTTTTGCCTATTCTGAAAAAAATACAGAATTCGGGTAGCACTTACCTTGAGAGACACCTGCTAGTAAATTATTTTCCGTCAAAAGAAAAGAAAAAAAAAAAGAAACCAATCAATGCGTGAGAGACAGTTTGGAAAATTCATGGGTAACATTGTCATTATCACAGATCACAATGTAAATCACTGTAATTACAAATTGGTGTTAAATCCTTTGGGTTATCCACTGCCTTAAAATTATATCTATTTCCTTTTTAAAAAGATATCAGTCAGAATTGGAGATTTTTAACAGTGGTCATTATCAAAGCTGTGTTATTTTCCACAGAATATAGAATATATATTTTTTTCGTGTGTGTTTTTGTTAACTACGCTACAGATATTGAATGCACCTTGAGATAATTTAGTGTTTTTAACTGGTACATAATTTATCAAGCAGTACATGAAAGTGTAATAATAAAATGTCTATGTATCTTTAGTTACATTTAAATTTGTAACTTTATATACATGTTTTATGCATGAGGAACTTTTTAGGGTGGTAGTATAAATGGAAACTTTTTGAAGTAGATCGGATATGGGCCAATAGCTACTTGTGACTAGACTTTTAAACTTTGCTCTTTCAAGCAGAAGCCTGGTTTCTGGGAGAACACTGCATAGCCATTTTTGTCTGTGGATTTACATAACATTAAAGAAAAACAAAGAAACATCAGATTTCCAGGTATAGAACTATGTTCTTTGACAGGAAAAGGAAAACTGGTGTTTGTTTTTTAGAGTCATGGAATAAAAAATTATGAAGGCAATGAAAAATAAATTGAAGACTAAAGTCAGATGGAGATTGGGAATCACATTTTGCCACTTCTGCATTATTTAGAAACACGTATTATTGTACATTTGTAAGCCATTTGCTGTCTGGGCAATAGTGGCTCAGTTTAATAAAGCTTCCTGTAGTGCATTGGTATGGATTAAGTACATAAAATATTCTATTAGACTTGATGCTGTATAAAATATTATGAAAAAAAGAAAATATATTATTTTAACTCTAAACTTTGATTTATTGAAGTTTTATTTGGCAGGAAAAAAAATCAAACCTTGGTCAATATTTAAACCAAAGTGAAAGGGGAAAACCAAAGTTATTTGTTTTGCATGGCTAAGCCGTTCTGTTATCTCTGTAAATACTGTGACTTCTTTTTCTTTTCTCTTTAGAATTTTGTTAAAAAAATTCTAAAACTTTTAAACACCTGCTTTCCACAGTAAATCCTGAACACTAAAGTAAAATTACTTTCATATAAATATTGTTTTTCTTTTTTTTTTTCTTTTGGTGTGAGAGATCAAAGGTTTAAAGTCTAACTCTTAAGATATATTTGCGGAAAGCAACAACCGGACCATTGCAAGACTATACTACAAAAAAAATTCTAAAACTTTTAAACACCTGCTTTCCACAGTAAATCCTGAACACTAAAGTAAAATTACTTTCATATAAATATTGTTTTTCTTTTTTTTTTTCTTTTGGTGTGAGAGATCAAAGGTTTAAAGTCTAACTCTTAAGATATATTTGCAGAAAGCAGCAACAGGACCATTGCAAGAGAGGGCTATACTACAATGATTTCTTGGCTTCCACTTGCAATGGATAACTAAGTCCAAAAAGAGCTGTCAGAACCTAGAGAGCAGAATATAGGGAACTCAGAGCTCTGGACCAGAAGCAGATCGGATTCTGAGAAAATGAGAACCACACTGTTACCACAGAAGCAATGCCTGGATAAAGAGAGGGTCGCACATGTGAAATGACAGCCACATGCGCAGCGAGGCCGGGAAGGAAGATAATTCACCATCCTCAGCTTTTGAGGGGTCTTCTCTCAATGGAACACAGGTTTTGCCAGTTCAAGGTTCACGCCCTATATGTGATTATAGGAATTGTATGTGGAAATGGATTAACGTACCCGTCTAAGCCTAAAAGATAATAAAACTGAAATATGTCTTCACATATCTCGCACAGCTGTCTGCCTCTTGTCTAAATTAGGCTGTTCATGTATAAAAGGTGATTGTCTTTATTAAAGAGCAGAAAACTCATTATGACTCTTCATCTCTCTGGAGAGGGAACGCAGAAAGATAAAATTGTCCTTTCTTCTGTGTCAGGTGGGCTACCTTAGCTGGTCCGTAAATCTCCTCAGTGATTGGTTATGTACTGTGTGTACCTTCAGTGACAGGGTCATACTTACTGTGGGTCTCCCATGTGTCTCTGCTAGGAGATAAATTAAGAAGATATTTCCATATGTCTTCTCTTTTGCCAATAATGCACCATTCAGATTACCATTTAGAATTACCTGGCCATAAACTTTCACAGAAATACTTTCCCTTCAAAATAACAGAAAGGTAGCAGTGGACATCAGAGGAGGAAATTAATATTTATTGAGCCCATACTATGTGTTAAAGTCACTGCTTTGCCTCCCTTTACCCCTAACAGATGATAACCGTACTGTATCTTCCCCACTTCACAGCTGAAAACCTGAGGTGTAGAGACGTTTCACAATCCCCATTAATTAGCTTTAAAGTAGTTAACTGATATCAAACCGAACTTGATCCCTTGCCCTACTGTAGTCCCCAAAGTTCCTCTAAAGAAATGCTCCTTTTGAATAATCTATAAAATTGGAAAAGATGGATTGACACATAAACTAATTACACAATCAATAAAGGATTATTCCAAGATGTTTATGTTATATTGGCTTGTCAGAAAAGTCATGACATATTTTTCTGGTTTTCTATGTGAAAATATACCATGACTTTTCTGACAACCCCGTATAATAGGCTAATATGCCATAATTTTCCAACTGTATTTGCATTAAATGGTTTAGAATTTTATTAGAATATATATGTAAATATTTACATGTATGTTTCCCGTTACTTTTCTTTTCAGAGGATTTTGCTGTAGGGCATGTGTGCTCACCAGAGACACAGAGACAGTAATAGGGAAAGTGAGAAGTTACCCCCCAAGGGGGATAGTTATGTCACAATCCCTTCTCCTTCCTTCTGCTGCCAGGAGCTTGGGCACACACGCATAGCGCCTGGCATGAGTTTCAGCCACGGTTCTGGTTGGCCTTGTAGGAGTCCAGTGATGTAACCACTTCACCGGCTCCTGGTCCCTCTTGTTACATTTTAAGCACCTATCGATTGCTATAATGTACTAAAGTGCCTATTATGAGACATATACATTACTGTGTAATTTACATTGTTTCATTTTTCCCAATGTCCTGGCAGGGCAGGTGCCATCTTCATTTTATAGATGAGGACAATGCAGATCACTGTCCATGATAGCAGATGCAGTGGGTGGGTGAGCGAGGACCCATGCCTAAGCTGCCAAAGTCCAGACTCTACTCACTGCATTGCTTATCCTCCCTGTTCTACGATTATACGTCTATCGATGCTTGAGAGGACTACTGAAATGATAGATTTGCACTGAATAACTTATTTGTTTCTCTAGCAACTAACGGTATTCATATTCTAAACACTATGGTACGAAGTAAGAAATATATGAAAAGATGTTTTAAAACAATGTGTGGATTTTCCTTTTTTATCTTATGTCTAAGGAATCAACTGTAACTACTATTAAAAAATAAGTACAGTATATTTGGCTTTACAAGCATCCTACTTTATAATAGTAAATATTTCCGTTATACGGAGAATGTGTATTTTTTATCTAAGCTTCCTAATAAAAATTATTTAAAAGATACACTGGGGTCAGATGGTGGCACAGAAGTAAAACACAATTCTCTGTGAGACTGACCTGGATGAGGAGGTTCCAGATTCACTTCCAGAAACCTCCCTGAGGATGTTGGGCACACGCATGCCAGTGATCCAGTGTTGGCTGAGGCTGGGCGTGGTGGTGGATGGCAGCAGTGTCAGAATCCCATTGGGGTTTATTCTCTCTAGATCTCTGTCTCTCTGTCTCTCTTTTCTCTCTTTCTTTCTTATTTAAGGAAGAATTGAAAATACGCTGCATTAGGGAAACACAAAGCCAGAAAACTGAATCTCTTGTTTTCCTCACCACACTGTTTCTCTTTCTAATCCAATTTTCTACCCTGCACCATACACACACATTCTGCCTCCTTTCAGGTTTCTTTATAAATACTTTTCACAGGGCCCATCAGGTGTTGTGGTGGTTAAGGTGCTGGATATGCATGTGGGTGACCACAGTTTGAGTCCACAACCTGACAACTAGCTTTCTCTCTCTCTCTCATCAAATTAAAAAATAGTAACAAATAAAATTAAATAACTTTTCTAAGAAAATAAAATAAATACTTTTCACATTCAAGAATATTTATTAGGAAAGGGATACATGGGGAGGTGACTCCAAAAGTAGTTTTCATCTTAATTGTTTTGTCTTACTGTTTTATTATCTATCTTTGGAAGAGATTTTAACTGCTGTAGCTAAGAGGCTACAGTAAAGATCTTCATCTATGTATGCAGAGGATCGCACCTGAATGTGACACCCCACCACACAAGTAATAGGGACCATTTTCCCCCATTTTTGTTGAAGGAAAGATATAGACGTTGCTTATGAGAAAAAGAACTGCCTGAAGGACTACACAGTATTTTGAAATAGGAAGCAGCGAAGGGGTGAAACTACTCGAGATACTTTTACAGGAGGCATTTGTAGTTCTAACAAGCAGGTGCCCTGGCACACGAGACCCAATAAACAATGAAACGTGTCTGAGTCAGCCTAATCATAACAAGTGTACAACTACCAAGAAACAAATAGCCTCAATATCATACCGGCTCAAAGCAAATTATTAGATTGTTTGCAAAATCGCGTATTATCACAGAGCAGAGGCTACTGTCTCCAAGATGGACAGGATTTGACAGAAAAGCAAAACAAGAAAGTATCAGGCCAACCCGTGGTCTGGTAGTTAAGGCAGATAGATCTCAGGAGTTCAACCATGAGGTTAGATTCCCAGACCTGGTCGTGTGCAAAATGCACCAAGAGTATGTAGTGAATGGCCAAAATCCCGAAAGGAGAGAGAAACGGAGAAGGGACTTGGGCATGACCATCCCCGTGGTGGAGGCCTGGCGCTTTCTTACTTTCTGTCTCTCTCTGTCTAGCACGTACACCCTCTAGCAATTTTTTTTTAAATGTACCTTTAGAGGCTATCAGAAGCTCAATTTGGACTATTTGGGAGGAATTTCTCACTTTCTGGCTCTCTGTTTCTCTGGCAGGCACACACACCCTTTAGCAAAAATCTCTCTAAAAAAAAAAAACAGATAATGGGTTTTTGGGCTCATTAGCAATAATATCATTTAAACAACAGGTCAGACTTCCCCCAGATTTTTAACCAATTCATTTGTTTTCAGGAGATGTGAAAGACTGCCTGTAGTGGCTGTTAGTCTTCTATTCATTGGGGTTTCGTTTGTCTTGAAGACAAGAAAATAAAGTAATTAAAATGTCAAATACAGAATCTTCTTGCCCTACAATGGGTTTGGATCCCAATAAACTGAAAATACCAAGAGTTGAAAATGAATCTTTTTAAATCGTCAGACAACACCTGTACTTGCTGGAACGGCAAGAGGTGGAGAAAACGCCCCTCCAGTGGGTCATGGCCACAGTCCCTCCTCCGTTTTTCTAAACTGTTAGAATTATGGACTCGGCCTCACATCCGTCTAGCATGCTTTTCAGGCTGTGAGGTTGGGATTCACCATGGCTGGCCATGAGGAGCTGGCTCTCCTTTTTCTATTTTTTTTTTTTGGGGGGGGGGATTGCCATAGAGTACCTATACTTGCTGGAGATAGATAGGGAGAGGAAAAGTGAGAAATCACCCCCAGAGGGGACAGACATGCCTCAGTCCCTTCTCCATTCTCTTTTGGGGATTTTGCGCATGCTCACACATGTGCCTGATTGTGATTTTCAAGCTACTAGGTCCAGGACTCAAATCATGGTCAGCCATGTGTGTATCTGGTGCCTTATCCACCATACCACCTGCTGGTCCCAGGATCTGGCTCTCTTAACCAGTAGGCTACTGATCAGCTCTGAAAATGCATTTAATACACCTAACCCA